TCATCCGATCAGCTGCTTTTGTCTGTTCCAAAAACAAGACTGAAGCTCAGAGGAGATCGGGCTTTTTCAGTCATGGGCCCCAAACTCTGGAACAACCTACCCCCCAACATCAGGCAGGCCACCTCCCTTCCTCACTTCAAATCCCTGCTAAAAAACATCTGTTTTCTCAGGCATTTCACACAGTGTAAATTGATCTAGTGCAGAGGTCTCATTCTCGTGGTCCACGGGCCAATAGCGGCCTGCAGGATGATGTCTCGTGGCCCCCACCGTGATATGAAAGTATAATATTATTGTGGCCCACAGGGTGAGCGGACCTCTGAAGGAAGTCCCGCCTGCCATTCCTCGTCATGGCTGACATTCGGTGCTAGACTAAGGCCCTATTTACACGGACACGATGGGGGGAAACATAGGTTTATTCGTATGTTAATTAGAGGAAAAGGTTTGCGTTGACACGGTCATATTTTGGGTTTACATGCATGCGCAGGATTACCCCCGCCCTCCCGAATCCTCTGTAGTTACGATGCCAGGTCATTAGATGGCGCTGTGAATTTTGTACCTTCACCTAATGCGCATGTGTGCTGCCTCGGCACGCTGTTTACCTGTGAGCTAAAAAGCTCTGCTAACAACAAAATCCATGCTCAATTTAACAACAAGTTAAAGCTGGATTCTGGCTGGATTGTGGATAAAAGAGTCGACAGATTTGACGCCAGTCGGGACTGCTTCATCTAGCTCCACACCGGTCTCTGAGTGGACCAGAACCGAGTCGACAATGTTGGACTTAATTCCGTGATAATCAGTAGCTGTACAGCAGGTAAATCAAATGTTCTTAATCAGGTTAGCTTGTGTTTACTTCGGTTACAAAACAACCGAGTTTTTATTTTTTCCTGAAAGAAGAAGAAGCTGTCCTCCCACCAGGCAGACCGGTTCTGGCTTGGCCCAGGTGCAGTGCAGCAGGACGTCGAAGAGAGAGATGTTGGATGAATTATTTATTTTAAATTCCCCTCAGTTCTTTTATTCAATCCATTCAATGTTCAGTTTAATTATCAGTGTTTGTGTGACATACAGTTTGTGGTGTTGAATAAATAAATAAAATAAAAATTAAACCTGATGTCTTCGTTTTCAACTTTAAAAACACGCAATAATGTTAGCATCATTTAATCACATAATTTGAATTACACAATGTCCAGATAGCTTCATTTAGCTCATATAGCTTCATTATACATCTCAAACTTAAGATAAATACTGTTTATTATTATTAAAATTATTATTTAACACATTAATGTTATAGTGCAGCGTGACATGTGTTCTATAAACAGTGACATTAGAACTGGATCAGACTGTGTCTCTTCCAACACAGATGTTGGTCACAGCACCTGGAGTGATAACAACGACAACAATACACATCCACAAATGATTCATACAAATTTAAGGTTTTTTATTGTTAGTTTGTTTAACAATGGAAAAACCGTTTGTTATCCACTGTTGTCATCACTTTTTGTTAAAATCCAAGTCTCTCTTATAAATGAGTCCTATTGACTCAGTGGGACTAACCTGTATCAATAAAGGTTGAATGAATATAAATATATACATAATGATTTATTCAACCTTTTATTTATACATGTTGGCTTCATTGAGCCACAAGGACTCATTTACAAGAGACCTGCTCCAGACAGAACATATAATTGAGAACATAGAATTGCGCCGCTCAAGGTGGCTGCATGTTGGAGCAGCTCTGTTACTTTCATGCTGAGATTTTGCTTTTGGAAACTTTAATTCCTCTTTTTCTGGATGTAAATCACATTTTTTTGGATGATCGTTTCCTCTGGTATCGGATGCTGTGCAGCTGGAAGGATTTTTACTGAAACTTTTTTGGTTTTGGACATTTGTTATGATGCGTAACCATGGCAACAAGGCAGTTTTCTACAACAACAGCTGAATAACATCTCAAAAGCTCAAATAATATCTCAACTATGGCCCCAACTCTCAAATGAGTTGAAAAGGATGTTCTGTGGACGCATTCTCATCTACCTGCCAGCTGTGCTCAAGTGCCTGATCTCTGAGATCCTGGAACTAGCAGGAAACACGGCTCACGACAGCGGATAGACAGGATCATCTTTCGGCACCTACAGTTGACTGTCCACAGCTATGAGGAGCTCGGCAGACTGCTGGGAGGAGTGGCCATCGCTCTGGGAGGAGTTCTG